TCCACTCACCTCAGCCTCCCAAAGGCACGGGATTACAGGCTGAGCCACCGAGCCCAACCAAAACAACAACTTTTAAAGGAAATGCTAGTATCACCAAACCTAGGCACAGGATTTCTTGAGAGCTTTGAAAGGTACAAGGGCTGTTCAACTAAACCACCATCCTACCAGGTATTCTTCTCCTCAGTGCCTAAACATGGTCTGTTCCATTAAGGTACAAGTTCAGGAGCATTGCACTGCTGATGCCCCATAGGCAGCTGACAGCCAAGTTCCTCCTTATCTTGGGCAGGTGCAGTCTGACTGGTCTGCTGTGTGCCATAAGCGAGCTCTCAATTGAAAGTGACAAGATACATGGCCAACACATTAGGGCAGCTGCAGGGAGCAGAGGCATGTAACTCCACATGGTCACATCCTCACTTGAAGTTTTCCCGAAAACCTTCCTTCCCCTCCAGTCAGCCACTCTTTTTTTTTGTTTGTTTGTTTTTTTTTGAGTTGGAGTCTCACTCTGTCACCCAGACTGGAGTGCAGTGGCCGCTCCCAGCCACCGCAGCCTCGACCTGCTGGGCTCCGGTGATCCTTCCTCCTCAGCTTTCCGAGTAGCCAGAATTACAGGCGCGCGCTACCACGCCCAGCTAATTTTTTGATTTATTGTAGAGATGAGGTCTCGCCTGCCCAGGCGGGTCTCGAACCCGCGGGCTCAGGCAATCCACTCACCTCAGCCTCCCAAAGGTGCGGGATTACAGGCTGAGCCACTGAGCCCGGCTCAGTCAGCCACTCTTAAGACCACAGGGCTCAGCTTCCCCAGGACATCCTGGCAGTGGCTCTCCTGGGTGCAGCAGCTCAGGTGAGAATCCCTCTACCTGTGTGGCCTACCTGTGAACAGGTTGACTGCAATGAAAGAACCAGGTCTGTCCACGAGGATGCAGGCAGAAGCAGCCTTGCCGTCCCTTGTCTGGGGCACAGCACACTCCACGACGGCCACATCCTGGGCCACAGGCCTCTCCCAGAGCAAGCTGCCATTGGCTCCTGATGCAGCAGCTGCAAAGGTACAAGGAGAGGAGAAGCCTGCGGACAGAGACACCGGGGTCAGGTTGGCCATAGAGTGCGTTCTGCTGACCCCATCTTCCTCACACCCTGCATCTGGCCACGGCCCCTCCCACCTAGACTCACTTCCTTTATCCTTCAGACTCATGAGGCTGCTAGTGTCCACCCCTGGGAAACGGCGGTAGTAGCTATATGGAGTGCTGAGCACTGAGTCTGCCCCCTTGCCTCACCTAGTCCTGCTAGGAAGGGGATGTGATGGATTCCAGCAATCCACCCCATTTGCCTCCTGAAACACTGCAAAAGTGAGAGGATGACCCCAAATGAAGATTCCTCTTCCTACAGGGAATTCTTCTTTTTTCTGATAAAATCAAAATTACCTTCGTCAATGCAGGATCGGTTGAAATTGCTGCTACTGTTGATATTTTTATAAAGAAAGAGAACATCTTGGATCTTGTCATTGTTTATGTCTTCCATAGCCAGAAAGTCATAGGTGACTGAAAAAGAAAACCATAGACTGTATGCCATGGGTCATGTGGGTCGATAGGAAAGGTCGAGTCCACACCACAACCTCCTCCTCTGCTCCCTAGGGTTTAGTACAGTTAGAATCTGCCACTCTGAGATCACCCCAACAGGAACAGTGGCTTCTCTCTCACTAGGATAGGCAACCCCCTCAGAACAGTGGCCATTCTTCAAGAATATGATGGAAGGGATGCTAGTGCCAAGTGTTAACCTTAGGAAGAACAAGCAGGACACTTGGGTCACACGAATGGATGTGCTGAGCACCTTCTGTCAGGAATAAACCCCTCCCTAGATCAGGTGGGATATAGACAGCTCATACTTCACACTCGTCAGGGTCTGTACTTCCATTCATTCAAGGACTCAAATGGTAAACTACATGCCTTAAAATCACACACCACAAGACTGAAGTTGTACCTTTATCTTACACAACGCACAAAAAAACTAACTTAAAAGGGACCATAGACTAACATACAAAGGTTAAAACTAAAGATGGGCATGGTGGCTCATACCTGTAGTCCCAGCTACTTAATTAGAAGGCTGGGGCAGGAGGATTCCTTGAGCCCAGGAGTTCAAGTCCAGCCTGGGACAACAAAATGAGATCCCATCTTTAAAAAAATTTTTTGAAGGCTGGGTACAGTAGCTCATGCGTATAATCCCAGCACTTTGGGAGGCTGAGGTGAGAGGATTGCCTGAGCCCACAGGTTCGAGACCAGCTTGGGCAACTTGGTGAGACCTCATCTCTACAATAAATTTAAATATAAAATTAGCTGGGCATGGTGGCACATGCCTGTAGTTCCAGCTACTTGGAAGGCTGAGACGGAAGGATCAACTGAGCTCAGCAGGTCGAGGCTGGGGTGGCTGTGAGCATGCCACTGCACTCCAGCTTGGGTGACACAGTGAGACTCCAACTAAACAAAACAAAAAAAAATATTTTTGAGGTGGGCACGGTGGCTCATGCTGGTAATTCCAGTGCTTTGGGAGGTGGAGGTAAGAGGATTGCCTGAGTGCAGGGGTTCGAGACCAACCCGGGGAACTTGGTGAGACATCGTCTCCACAATAAATTAAAAAATCAGCTGGGTGTGATGGCACACATTTGGAGTTCCAGCTACTAGGAAGGCTGAGGCAGAAGAATCACCTGAGCCCAGCAGGTCAAGGTTGCGGTGACCATGAGAATGCCACTACACTCCAGCCTGGGCAACAGAGTGAGATTCTAACTCAAAAAAAATATTTTTTTTTAAACTAAAACTACTAGAAGAAAACACAGGGGAAAAAAAACCTTCATGACTTTGAATTAGACAGAGTTAGATAAGACACCAAAAGCACAATCTGTAATAAGAAACTGATAAATTTGACTTCATCAAAATTAACAATTTTTGTGCCTTAGAAGACACCATTATGAAAATGAAGAGATAGGCTGGGCTCGGTGGCTCTACTTTGGGAGGCTGAGATGAGTGGACTACCTGAGCCCGTGGGTTCGAGACCCGCCTGGGCAACTTGGCAAGACCTCATCTCAACAATAAATCAAAAAATTAGCTGGGCATGGTAGCACATGCCTATAGTTCTGGCTACTTGGAAGGCTGAGGCAGAAGGATCGCCGGAGCCCAGCAGGTTGAGGCTGTGGTAGCCGGCAGCAGCCACTGCACTCCAGTCTGGGCGACAGAGTGAGACTCCAACTCAAAAAAAAAAAAGAAAAAGGAAAGAAAAGGAAGAGACAAGCCACAGACTGATCACAAATATTTGGTAAATCATATATCTGATATAGAAGACTTATATCTAGAATATATAAAGATCCTTTGATATTCATTAATAAGACAATTCTATTTAAAAAATGAGTAGCGCGCACCTGTAGATCCAGCTACTTGGAAGACTGAGGCAGAAGGATTGCCTGAGCCCAGCAGGTCAACGCTGGAGTGGCCATGAGTGTGCATGCCACTGCACTTCAGCCTGAGTGACAGAGACTCCAACTCAAAAAAAAAAATTAATTAATTAAATAAAATAAATAAAAAATAAATTTTAAAATGAGGAAAATGTTTGAATAGACTTCGCCAAAGGAGTTGAAAGAATTGCTAAAAATTACATGAAGAGATGCTCAACTTTTTAGTCATTAAGAGATTCAAATTAAAAACACAAGATACCACTTCACACCCACTAGGATGGGTATAACCAAAAAGACAGACAAAAAAAAGTGTTGGCAAGGATGTGGAGGAACTAAAATCCTCCCAACACTGCCAGCGGGAATGTAAAATGGTATAGCTGCTTTGGAAAACAGCTTAGTAGTTTCTTAGAAAGTTAAACATAAACTTACCATAAGGCTCAACAATTCCACTCCTAGCAATCTACCCAAGAGAAATGAAAACATATATCCACATGAATATCTGTAGATAAATGCGCCCGGCAGAATCATTCATAATAACCCCAAACTGGAAATAATCCAAATGTCCATCAACTGGTAAATGGATAAACAATACAGTCTGTCCACAAAACAGGAATACTATTCAATAGTCAAGAGACATAAGCTACAACACAGATGAACTTCAAAAACATTAGGCTAAGTGAAAAAAGTCACATTCAAAGGTACATACTATATGATTTCATTTACATAAAATGTCCAGAAAAGATAAATCTTTGGGACAGAAGGTAGACTTGTAGTTGCCGAAGGCTAGAAGGGGCATGGGGAGTGAGGGCAAAGGTCACAAGGAATCTTCTAGGGATGACGGAAATGCCCTAAAACTGGAATGTAGTGACAGTTAAGCAGTTCTGTAAATTGGCTAAAAATCACCGCATTGTATACTTAAGACAAGTGAATAATGCATATGGCATATAAGTTGTACCCAAAATAAAACTGCAAAAAAATAAACATATATACTCTTCCTCAAAATGAAGTGCCAAATTCTAAACAGAACTGACTCTAAGTGAGCCTTCAATAAGGAATCACCTTTATCCCACCAGGGCAGCCCTCAAGTCTGTAAGCAACATTCTGAGGCGATCAGCATTCTCACTCACTGGCATGGTGACTGCGGAGGCTGTTCTCCGAGGTAGAATGTCCTGACTCAGCTACTTTTCCTAAAGGCCAAGATTCCAGACTGCCAATCTTGTGAGACAGAAATTTAAATGTGCCCCACCTGAGCTGACTGGTATGCTGGTTGGGCACCTCAGGACGATTCGGCACCCAATCTGCTGCACATCTGTATAACAGCCTTTTCTGTATCTTTCAGGCAGTGCTCTGTTGAATTTTGCTTGTTTGTTTGTTTTGAGTTGGAGTCTCAGTCCTTCGCTTAGGCTGGGGTGCACTGGCACGCACACTCAAGGCCACCCCGGCGTCAACCTTCTGGGCTCCAGTGTTCCTTCCGTCTCAGCCTTCCAAGTAGCTGGAACTATAGACATGTGCTACCACACCCAGCTATTTTTTATTTTATTTTATTTTTTTGAGTTGGAGTCTCACTCTGTCACCCAGACTGGAGTGCAGTGGCCGCTCTCGGCCACTGCGGCCTCGACCTGCTGGGCTCCGGCAATCCATCTGCCTCAGCCTTCCAAGTAGCTGGAACTACAGGTGCGTGCTACCACGCCCGGCTAATTTTTTGATTTATTGTAGAGATGAGGTCTCGCCAAGTTGCCCAGGCGAGTCTTGAACCCGCGGGCTCAGGCAATCCACTCACCTCAGCCTCCCAACGCACGGGATTACAGGCTGAGCCACCGAACCTGGCTTCTATTTTTTTATTTTATTGTAGAGACGAGGCCTTGCCAAGTTGCCTGGGCTGGTCTCGAACCCATGGCTCAGGCAATCCACTCACCTTGGCCTCCCAAAGTGCTGGGATTACAGGCTGAGCCACCAAACCTGGCCTCTTTTTTTTTTTTTAATTTAGAAAAGTATTAGCCAAATAGGCCACTTTAATTGATTTACCCAACCCATCCTTCCTAAGAAAGGGAGAGAGGCCATGATGCTTCTGTGTCAAGGCTTCCAGTTTTACTTAGAGGCTGCTAAGTAAAACTCTTTTCACTTAGCTCTCTAAAATCTTGAGAAACCTTGGACACAGAACTGGCAGCCTCGAAGGTTGACACATTGTTAAAGTTCAACAGGAAGAAGAGCAGCGAGAACATAACTAGGTGGGGAGCCCAAAACTCACCTGCTATATTGTAATCGATCCTCCACATTCGCTGTGATACAGGTCGGTCAGGACATGGGATAATGAATGAGACGACAAATACCACAAAAAGGCAGAGAAACAATGAAAGAAAAAATGCCACTGTTCGGCATCGGGAGAGCCGGGAAAGTGGAGGTGTGCTCTTCAAGTTATCTTCATTTTTCAGTCGGTTACCCAGATTTTCCTGTGATTTTCTGTCTTCACTCTTCAAGGGGTGGATTTCAGCTTCTAAGTCCTTGTTGTCCAACATTGTGTGCACATCCCAAGGTTTAACTCCTGGTCACTGTGTCAATAAAGCAGAGGTTATCAAGGTCAGCAGCCCACAGTGGAAAGCTGCAGCAGCTTCTTGGAGGACTAGTTGAACCCCAAATGTGGACTATCAGTCAGGAAATAAAAGCTAAAACAATGTGTGGGTATCAGTCTCAACAGATCCCACTTAAGAAGGCCTCTAATTTTTTTTTTTTTGAGTTGGAGTCTCACTCTGTCACCCAGACTGGAGTGCAGTGGCCGCTGCCGGCCACTGCAGCCTCTACCTGCTAGGCTCTGGCGATCTTTCTGCCTCAGCCTTCCAAGTAGCTGGAACTGCAGGCACGTGCTACCATGCCGGCTAATTTTTATTTTTATTTTATTTTTATATATATTCTTTTGAGTTGGAGTCTCACTATGTCACCCAGACTGGAGTGCAGTGGCCGCTGCCGGCCACTGCAGCCTCTACCTGCTAGGCTCTGGCGATCTTTCTGCCTCAGCCTTCCAAGTAGCTGGAACTGCAGGCACGTGCTACCATGCCGGCTAATTTTTATTTTTATTTTATTTTTATATATATTCTTTTGAGTTGGAGTCTCACTATGTCGCCCAGACTGGAGTGCAGTGGCCACTCCCGGCCACCGCAGCCTCAAACTGCTGGGCTCCAGCAATCCTTCCGCCTCAGCCTTCCAAGTAGCTGGAAGTACAGGCATGCGCTACCACGCCTGGCTAATTTTTGATTTATTGTAGAGATGAGGTCTCGCCAAGTTGTCCAGGTGGGTCTCGAACCTGCAGGCTCAAGCAATCCACTCACCTCAGCCTCCCAAAGCACGGGATTACAGGCTGAGCCACGGAGCCCGAGGTCTCGCCAAGTTGCCCAGGCGGATCAGGAACCCAAGGGCTCAGGTAATCCACTCACCTCGGCCTCCCAAAGCGCTGGGATTACAGGCTGAGCCACCTGAATGTCTCTAATTAACATAGAAAAGCAAATTAGTTGTGTAGAGCCAGCAGGCAGGTGGTATTTTCATCCTTAACTCATTGGTGCTTCTGCCTCTGAACCAGAGACAAGTTGAGTAAGTTTGGAGCAGCCCTGGGGCTGAGGCTGAGGACAACAAACCCACAGGGTTGCACATAATGCAAGCCCTGCCTGCTCAATGTCTGGGCACAGCTGACCACTTCTGTCAGCACAGATGGAAAGTGCGGCCCATGTGGGAATTTGGTGAAACCAACATTCTCATATATGCATGCCCTAGAGGTCAGACTCCCAGTTCAAAGCATCCTATGTAAAGATGGGCTCTGGACTGACAGACTTACCCCTTACTAGCTGTGGGACCTGGGACAAGTGATATGACTAGACCTTGTCTCAGTTTCCTTATCCTGAGAGGGAGACTCCTGACTCAAAAAATAATAAATAAAATAAAGGACTTATTCTTATTTATTTATTTGTTTATTTATTTACTTATTTATTTTTTGAGTTGGAGTCTCACTCTGACGCCCAGGCTGTAGTGCAGTGGCACATTCACAGTCACTGCAGCCTCAACCTGCTGGGCTTAGGCAATCCTTCAACCTCAGCCTTCCAAGTAGCTAGAACTACAGACATGTTCTACCACGACTGGCTTATTTTTTGATTTATTGTAGAGATGAGATCTCACCAAGTTGCCTAAGCTGGTCTTGAACCCTTGGGTTCAGGCAATCCTCTTGCCTCGGCCTTCCAAAATGCTGGGATTACAGGCTAAGCCAAAGGGTGGCCAAAATAAAGGATTTGTAACAGTATCTAACATCATAGTAACCACTCCAACACTATTTATTATTATTATTATTATTTTGAGTCAGTCTCACTCTGACGTCCAGACTGGAGTGCAGTGGCACACTCACAGCCACGGCAGGCTTAACCTGCTGGGCCTGGGCTCGGGTGATCTTCTGCCTCAGCCTCCCAAGTAGCTGGAACCACAGGTATGTACCACCATGCCAAGCTAATTTTTTTTTTTTTTAATTTATTGTAGAGACAAGGTCTCATCAAGTTGCCCAGGCTGGTCTGGAAGCCCTGGGCTCAGGCAATTCTCTCACCTCTGCCTCCCAAAGCACGGGGATTACAGGTGTGAGTCAACATACCTGGTCCAACACAAGCTACTATTATTAATTAATAAATCTGTATAAAGTTATTATCATTATTACTATTGAATTATTATTACTATTATTATTAATTTATTAATTTAATTTTAGAGTTGGAGTCTCACTCTATCACCCAGGCTGGAGTGCAGTGGCACACTCACAGCCACCTCAGCGTCAACCTGCTGGGCTCCGGTGATCCTTCTGCCTCAGTCTTCCAAGTAGCCGGACCTACAGGCCCACACTACCACACTCAGCTACAGTTATTATTAAGATAAACTTGTATAAAGAGAAGTCCCATGGAGAGAAGCGTGGACAGCTGTGTAGAATGACCACTGGAGTTGTGTGGAACCTCTGAGTCCTGATACCCTCCTGCTGGCTGGATGGGGGTAGGGGAACCGGCAGTGTCTGTCTTAGAAACCAAACGGAACATACTTGAAGGTGGCAAAGTCAGAGGGCTCCTGATACCACCAAACCAGCATCCATCCTGAGTTGCTTTTACTATGTTCATACAGCTTCCTCAAAAAGTTAAGCACAGGCCGGGCTCAGTGGCTCAGCCTGTAATTCCAGCACTTTGGGAGGCCAAGGGGAATGGACTGCCTGAGCCTGTGTGTTCGAGACCCACACGGGCAACTTGGCAAGATCTCGTCTCTACAATAAATAAAAAATCAGCCGGGCATGGTAGCGGGTGCCTGTAGTTCTGGCTACTTGGAAGGCTGAGGTGGAAGGATCGCCGGAGCCCAGCAGGTCGAGGATGTGGTGGCCAGGAGCAGCCACTGCACTCCAGTCTGGGTGACAGAGTGAGACTCCAACTCAAAAAAAAAAAAAAAAAATCTGTGTGCAGTCTCCTTAATGCTGAGGCGTAAGTTTTAATATCTTGAAAGTCAGAAAAGATATGCCTATCAAAGGAAATGAGTTAGACTCCAGAAAAATCAAACAATGACTCATGACCAGGGATCTCATTAAGCTCAAGCACCTGACAAGGGGGTGGGGACGGCATGGCAGGGGTTGTATAGAAAAGGTAACTAGGGAAAAGTCCAGCAATGGAACAAACCCAGAGCAGCTGCAAACAGGCCCAAGGTGCTGGGGATCATGCTTAAAGAAAAGGAGAGAGCCGTTCACTTAGCAAACAGAGCACCATGTCCTCAATGAAGGGATGTTTGAAATGTTTAAAACATAAATTCCTGGCAGGGTAAGGTGGCTCACACCTATGATGCCAGCACTTTGGGAGGCCAAGGCGAAAGGACTGCCTGAACCCAGGAGTTCGAGACCAGCCTAGTCAACACTGTGAGATGCCCATCTCTAAAATAAAATAAAATAAAATTAGAATAAAATAAAATAATAAAATAATTAGCTGGGCATATAGTGGCATGCACCTGTAGTCCCAGCTACTCAGGAGACTGAGGTAGAAGGATCGCCTCGGACCAGGAGTTTGAGGCTGAGGTAAGCCATGATTATGTCACTGCACTCCAGCCTGGGAGGCAGAGTGACAAGACACCCTGACTCAAAACAAACAAAAACCCTGAAACCATTCTCTATTTCTACTGCATAATTGACCGTGCTAAATCAGACCAAACTGGACAACCTGTAGCAGGAACAGAGGGAAAGGTGTCATTTTCTCAGTTACCTTTTGATTTGGAGAGTCCAGCTAAAGAAACAAACATTTCCCCCATGCACTGCCCACCTCTTTGACAAGATTTAGATGCAGAAAGGTAAATGCTCATTAGTAACACAATTGGGAATATAGATAATCTGCCTCTTGTCAGCACCTACAATTCAGCCAGTATCCTCAAGGGCAGGGCAGAATGAAACAAGATACATCACACATAAGGAAAGACAAAAACAGAGGCTTCCAAAGGCAGTCCCCCATTGTTAGAAGCAAATGAATGCAGTCACTAGACTTCCCAAAATCAGCACTCATTCTGAGTTGGTCACTGAGCTCTGCCCTGGAGGTTCCCATATATTAGGTGTTTGGGTCCAGTCAATCCAGATGGTGACTGTCCTACCACTTGGGCTGACCTGGGTCAGGGCAAAACAAAAAAAATACAATAAGTTCCCTACATACAAACCTTCAAGTTGCAAACTTTCAAAGACGTGCATGTGTTTGCATGTCCAATCACATGAGTTAGTTCATGTGTCTGGCATATATACAGATTCTGTCTGCCAGCTGCTGTGCTGTACTGTACTACTGTACTGTACTGTAAGATTTAAAATGCTTTAGCCGGGCTTGGTGGCTCAGCCTATAATCCCGCGCTTTGGGAGGCTGAGGTGAGTGGATTGCCTGAGCCCACGGGTTCGAGACCCGCCTGGGCAACTTGGCGAGACCTCATCTCTACAATAAAAATAAAGAAATTAGCCGGGCGTGGTAGCGCGCACCCGTAGTTCCAGCTACTTGGAAGGCTGAGGCGGAAGGATCGCCGGAGCCCAGCAGGTCAAGGATGTGGTGGCCGGGAGCAGCCACTGCACTCCAGTCTGGGCAACAGAGTGAGACTCCAACTCAAAATAAATTAATAAATAAATAAAAGTAAAAATAAAATGAATAAAACCCCCAACTCAATCAAAATAAATTCCAAATAGACAAAAAAATGTAAAATTATTATTACTAGTATTTTTTTTTTTTTTTATAAAGACTGGTCTCAAACTTCTGGCCTCAGGTGATCTTCCCTCAGTCTCCCAAAGTGCTAGGATTACAGGTATGAGCCACCATGCTCAGCCAACATTATTATTATTTTTTTGAGTTGGAGTCTCACTCTGCTGCCCAGGCTGGAGTGCAGTGGCACACTCCCGGCTACCGCAGCCTCAACCTGCTGGGCTCCGGCGATCCTTCCGTCTCAGCCTTCCAATTAGCTAGAACTACAGGAGTGCGTTACCATGCCCAGCTAATTTTTTGATTTTTATTGTAGAGATGAGGTCTTGCCAAGTTGCCCAGGCAGG